CGTACATACATACATGCATACGTGCATTCTTTCATACATACACACATACATACATACAAATATACAGACATACATACATACATACACACATACATACATACATACATTCATACATTCATACATTCATACATTCATACATACATGCATACATACATCCATACATACAAACATGCATACATACGTACATACATACTTTCATTCATACATACATACATACATGTATGCATACATACATACACACATTCATACATACATACATCCATACATACATATATATAAAAATAAATTCATACATACATACATCCATTTATGCATACACACATACATACATACATACATACATACATACATACATACATCCATACATCTATACATCCATACATATATACATACATACATACATACATATATACATACATACAGAAATAAATACATATATACATAAATGTATTTTTGTACGTACCTACGTATGTGCGTATGCATGCATGTATGTATGTATGTATGTATGTATGTATGTATGTATGTATGGATGTATCTATGTATCTATATATTTATGTATGGTTTTTAAGGCTTTAAACGGGCATACTCAAGCAGGCAGGTCATACTGTACTATTTGTTGGTCAATGTTTTTATATATACTTGTGTGTATTGGTACACTTCAACATCATCTGGGAGGTGTTCTGTATTCTATCAGCAGCATCTGATCATGTATATAAAAGACATATTTTTAACACGCGCGTTTATTCCAATTGAGTATCTTACCCTAGCATTCATTCCACACTCTCCCTTTCTTCTCAGGTAAGGCGCTGATAGTATACGAACCGTCATACATCAGGACGTGCAAGTGGGCACCGGGTGTGCTACCATTCACAAATACTACTTATGAGTACGGCTGTAACTTCATTGGTTACCACACAAGCACTGCCTATGGCATCTACGGGCTGTGCTCGGTGGGTCTGCTGCTGTGTGTGTGCACGTCCATTGCACTACACTGCCGCAGAGGCCATTCTGGTGAGTTGTATCCAAATAACACAAAAATGCAAGTACACCTACACAAGGAGGTATATGTATCACCAGAGTCATATGAGTTACAATACATACTGGATCTTTTATATACGTATGTTCCCTTCTATTTCCATAACGCAGCTATGTGAATCGGCTTTTATTCTGTCCGTTTTTTGTGCTGGTCAGGCTTGATCAGCGTTTTTATGCACGCCATTTAGTTGCAGTTCGATTAATTATTATATCCAGTTGTGCAAGGCGGTTGTACTTGTTCTGTCAGATTATTCTGACAGATATGCTATTTATCCTCAGCATTTCGGTTATAGTTTAGTCTTCTACCTTCCCATTCGATACCCCACTACAGTCGCACCGGTAGTCAGTGCTGTATCCCGTCCGGTTATTCAGGCAAGTTTCACTATTAACGCCCCCCGCATCCCCATCCATGTCAACCACTGACGTTCTGATTCGATTTGCCTACACAGCTGTACGAGGCGGCAGTTACTTGTTCTGCCAGATCATCCTGTCTGGTGTGATCATAGCCTTCATCGGAGCCACAATGTTTGTAGGACCCAATAGCCCGCCCAAAATGTCGCTGCAGATAGTTCTGATCTGCCTCGCCATCAATCTGATCATGGCAGGTACGTACCATTTTTAACTAGATCTGCATCTGAAGCGCCCCTTAGATTAGTAACGTGCCTCGCATTTGGTGTACAAGGTAGGGTTTCTATCAATGAGTGGTCGAAATCATTCCCATAGATGGTACTGACCATCGTAATTCGTGCAAGTTATCATTCCTCTGCCACATACCAAAACCACACTCTCACCACCGCAGCGCTGATAGTCAAACTGTACCGTGTGTGGAAGATCTTCGTTTCCAACAACGATCTTAAACGGTCGCTCAAGCTCAGAGATAGGGATCTGATGATTCCCTTCATCGGCTTCATGGCCATTGCTATAGTCATTCTCCTGGCCACGTGTTTCATGGGTAGGTGAAGTTTATTCCTCCACTCGAACGGTACTTTTCTGTTCTATTTTCTTGCTTTGGTGTGTATTCGAAGGGATACTTAGTATCGTCAATATTCTCGCATGGGTGTCTGTCCGTGTCCCCGCTTAATTCTCGACAGCTCGTTTCATAGCGTCTTTCAATGGGCCTATCTACTGCGAATAGAAGACACAGCTTGTATCATTATCTACACATGCCGTAAAAGGCTGAATCGTTGTTCAACGGTCTTCGATAGCATTCTATCATTTTTATCGGGAAGTACAAGTATATATACTCCTGTATTTACTATTCTATTGGAAGTACAGACTGTCGCATCATCCGAGTTGTGTGTACTCAATAATTGTGTATCACAATACACAGAGTAAAATTGACACCATGCACTGTGCCACACCATGCAGGCCAGGGCTATTCGAACGAATCTATGACGCAAACAACACTCACGCTAGAATCGCCCCAGTCCGGCACTTTCATCCTATCGGGCGTTATGGTAGAGTCTATCGATGTAAGTATGAGGCATCGTTGTTTGATGAAAGTTGATAGTTAAAATACTAGATATCAAACTATGATAGAAGTATCGATATACTGTGATTGTGGAATTTTTCGATTCAAGCTCATGATGCATGTATTGGTGTATACTTGTAGTTTTAATACAGTTGCAGTATAGCCAGTTATAGTTTTATCGGTCAATGTAGTATTGTGTTGTACCTATATGCTAGTAGCCGAATATATAGAAGCGGTCGGAGTAAGTCTACGCTTGGAAGTGTCGACATATATAGTAGTATTTATCGATGTGACTACTTATATGATTCACTTAAAGGTAGAAGTCACCGTTGTATTGTTGCTGTAGCAGTCGTCGAAGTTTACGGTGTACACATGTACTTGCCGGCAACAGATCCTGATAGAATACGCTGCACTCTCACACTATCTCCACACACGCACACACGCACACACGCACACGTGCACAGGTAAACATTGCGAACATCCTCCCTGTGGCTTTGTGGGCGGTCGCTCTACTCTTCATCGCAATGGTCATGTCATTCCTGGTTCGTGGAGTTCCGAGCGAGTACAACGAAACGAGCTTCATGCTGGCGGTTATCTACCAGATCCTGTTTGTTACATCCGTGATGTGCCCCATCATGATCTTCATGCTGGTCGAAGGCAACACCAACGCGTTCATCTTCTCGGCGTGTGGCGTGGTGTTTATCTCGGGTTGTTTCATCACGATTGTCCTGTTCTTCCCGAAGCTGTTCGCCACCAGCAAACGGCTCAGTTACTTCTTTCATACAGGTATATGTGAATGTTTGTACGTTTTCTTTCAAAACCTCTTTTACTTCTTCCACAGAGGTATATATGTGTGTGTACGTTTTCTTTTCGAAACCCATTATACTTTTTCTAGAAAGGTATATATGTGTGTGCATTTTCTTCTCAAAACCACTGCTATTTCTTCATACATATGTGTTTGTACGTTTTCTTTTTAAATCCCCTTCTACTTCCATACAGGTATATATGTGTGGTTACGTGAGCCCTTAGCAGACCCTCTCAACTGTTATTTCTTACACATATTTTATTTTTTGTATGTGCCCGCTTAGCAATCCCTCGCAAGGCCTCAGCCTTCATAGTGGATAGTCTGCGAATATCCATTACCACCATTAACTTTTCCCTCACGCATGCAATGATGCGTGGAGTTGAATGATTGGCTGTCCTATTCATTCGACACTCCTTGACAACTCCCGGCACCCCTGGGTACCCACTGACACTCATTCGTCCACACCCTTTGAACAACCATACACAGCTAAAGACTACCCCGTATGCCAAGACGAAGGCACCTACCAACCCCGAACCACCTACTCCAGTCAACGTAGCCGGCCGATGGGGTCCGCGCCTAATATCCTGCGTGCAGATAGCATGCAGACCTACAGTTCGTCTTTCCGCGGTGTCACACGCGACAGTGTAGTTGGCGGAAGCCCAACGGAAGGCCAAGGGCGCGGCAATACACTCATGCACGCGCAGTCGCTGGGGTCCGTTGCAGCGGGGTATAGGCGCCAGAGCTTGCTCGGCAACCCAGCCAGTACGAGTAAGAACAAGAGTGCCTGGGCGGTGCTTAAGCACGAGAGGGGCCAGAGAGGCGAGGGCAGCAGTGGGCTAAGGAGGAGTATGGATACGGTGCCCAGGACGGGAGAGCGAGATACGTGTGTGGATAGTAGCACGCTGGAAAGCGAGTTTGAACTGGTGCATGTCGGAGATATGACGGACACCCACACCCACATGGATAAGCGACGGCACCTCCACGACAAGACTTGTACTGGTAGAGATAGTAGCACAGACGCAGACGACGACTTTGAGAGCGCACCCCTGATGGCTATGCCGTTGTGTGCGGGGTGTGGGGCCGATACCACGTGTGCGTGCAGCGTGTCGAGATGCGCCTGCCCACCGGACAAGCACTGTAAGGTCAACGAACTATGCTTTCGTATAAAGAAGGTACGAGCCAATCTGACGCAGGCGCGACGGAGGTGTGTGTCAAGTCGCGTGGTCGAGCACGGGGACGGTGCTAGAGAGGCGGTCGGTGGGGGCGGTGATACTATGGGCACGAGAAAGGCGGAATTGAAGGACGATACAGCCCGGCGATTAGGCCCCAACGCGAATGCCATAGATCTGAACCAGCCCGTGACGAGTGGGCTGGGTATGATCGAGAGTGTACACAGTCCCAGTACGGGACCTTACGGTGACAGTGAGTCGAAGGGCGTCAACAGCATCCCCTTGGTCCACACTCAGAGCGTAGTGCTGACCGACAGCGATCACGTACCGGCCACTATCGACTGCGACGATGTACAGCTAGCCAAGAGTGCCTCTGTACCGGCGGTGTCTATGTACAACCCCTTTGACGATACAAAGGCCTACAGGACGGGTGGTACGGATTCACACCAGGCGCAGCTCGCACCCGTGACGTCGCCGTCGCCGTCCGGCCCGTTTCGAGCCTTGAGTGACGAGGGCGTGTACGCTGAGCAACTGTCGGGACGCAGTTCCGGGGTGACTTTTAATGAAGTCAGCCTGTCGCCGAGAAGTGGCACCAATCTGAGTGTTAATGGGGTCAACGGGAGTGGGACTGGGGCTGGGGTTGGTACGGCGGCTTGGTACGATGATGGGAAACACGCGGATCCACTGGGGGCATTGCAGCCGCAAGACGTTAATTGGGATACAACCAGTAATACGAGCATCACGAGTATCAAAAGCCTGCGACAGAATCACACCGCGGAGAAGGAACCCAAGCGACACAAGAGGAGCATAAGCTTGCTCGCGAGAGAGCTAGCACACCTTGCCTCGCCCATATCTAGCCGGAGGAGTGGTAAAGAATCGGACGTCATGTCGGGGGCCGGTAGTGCGTATGACAGTGAAGACGGCAATAGAGGCCGAACGCCACAGAAAGCGAGGTTATCGAATCGGATGAGGCTGAAGAAGGCGGGTAGTGAGGTGGAGATGCATGTAAAGAAGAATCCGAAACCCAAAACCAGCCGGTCCAAGGGCCGCGGTGAGAGGTGCACGCCCTCACCTGTTCCTTCCGGCGACGAAAAGGTGTCAAATGGCGGTGCCGAGATTGCAGCGCAGGCAGACCCAGCCACGCGCACACTTCCCAGAAAGACCCGAGCGTTGACGGGCGAGAACGGGTCGCGTACGGGTGTGGAGGGCAATGACAGTGAGGATGACTCACTGATCCACTTTCTGTCACCAACGCTGATGGAGAACGTGGGCGGGATGAAGCCGTCGGCTGATATGAGATGAGATATGGGCCCTTCATCTGTTACCAAACTAAGCTAGGATTACCACTCCCGGACCGAAATATATAAGTGCAACACACATCCAAGCTGCACGCCTTGAGCTCAGTCAATATGTATGCTCGCAGTGATTTTCCGTTTCTATAGTTAAGGCTCAAGTACACACCGCTACTTGCTGTCTACACCCGAAACGGCAATGATGAGGGTGTTCTACTCTGTAGGTGGGCAGGTCAATTGCAACACCAATGTGTGTCAAGGGCGGTGCAAGTACTACCGCTGGATATATAAACTCAATAGATAAAATAATACAGTAGATACTCTCGTCAGTGTTCAGAGGTTGCGTAGCTTATCGCATCACTTATGCGAGCGCTGGAGCTTTTTATTTAAACAAAAAATAAAGTTTGAGATGAATTATTCTGTATGTATCAGAGGCCGGTTAGTCTGACATGGGCTTTACGAGTCCATCATCGAAGAGATACAACTTACAAATTTCCAACAATGGTGTCGTGCACATTTCCACAAGAATGGCAGATTCGTGGCTACCGCTACATACTGAAACGAAAACTGTGATGCAAATTGTACAAATTGATTGTTTTTGGGGTTCATGTGCTTGGAAACAAGATAAGTCACTTG